TTACAGTGTTACTATTTGCAACAAACACAGATTGGAACCGTGTTATTCTTTAGTTTAAAAGAGAGAGAACGTACAAACTGTATTTCTTAAATGCTGTCCAAATTTGGCTTAGCATATTGCCATCTGCTGCAATGCCATCCCCTTACATATAAAATACTGCACCTTTAGCTAAACTGCTTGAAAAGTCTTTATTGAATGAAAGAACAAAATGTACTCGATTATAATTAAATATTTTGCTTCTAGAAAACTGCTTGTTTTTCATAAGCATTAATACACATAGTTATTACCTGTAATTGTATATTGATGCTTTTTGTTCAAAGGGTAAGTATTATGCTGCTTTAACAAGTTATTAGCAGACAGTGGTTCCACATACAGTACATTTTGGTTTTATCGCAGTCATAGCGTATTCTCTTAAAATGTGCGTAATATTAAAGGCTACATTCAGGTTGTATTATATTATTTTAAAATGAAAGGTAAAGATTTTATATGAGGTAATAGTGTAGCCTCTATATTATAAAAACAGAATGTTGTGAAGATGGGTTCACATCAAAATGTTACTGTTATTTATAAATAAAACTTTCTCTTTTGTGATTAAATTAAAAATACTGTCATAGCAGGTTTATAAAGAGACTGTTGTTTAAATTGAAAGAAGCTGGTATTTTGGTTAGAATATTTTTTTAAGGAAAAAATATTTTAAATGCATGGAGTGTTTTTAAAATCGTTTTATATAATCACAGTGGAAGGGCAGTTGTCCCCATATTGCAAGGGCACAGAAGTTAGTCCTCTGGATTACTATATTAAGAAGCAATTGAAGCTATGAAATTTAATCTCACTACTGAATAAACAGTTCTGTAGAGATGCCTGTTTGTATTTGTTTCTCTAATAAAAATGCAACTGTAGCTCTGAACACAAATTAGTTTTAATTATTTAAATGATATGAATTTTGTCAAACATAAATAATCTAACACCTGGTTTGCCTTTTCATTTTTGAAAAATAAGTCTCATGAAAACTAATAGAGGATGATAGTGGGGAAAGATACAGGTAGGTCTACATATTTATTTAAAAATTTTCAATGACTTATTACATTTTTATTCATTCCAAAAGTGTAAATATGAGATGATTATTATGAAGCAGGATGAAGAAGCAATCTGATGCATTGCTATATACAGGCACAATAGGAAATAGAAAAATAGAAGGAAATGTATCTATGTAGACTGAGATACTTAATACAACACATGAGTATTGTGCTCAGTTTTGACAGTTGGTAACATGATTTATAGTATAACACTTTATCAACCGATAAAACAGTAACAAGACAAAACAATGACCTGTTTGGCTTTTGGGACTCTTAATCGAGTCATAAGGTTTTATCATGATGTTTATGAATCTATATGGAAGAGACCACCCGAGGCAAACAAAATGACATGCATCTGATTTTCCTTAAATTGCTTTAGTTTTACCTATTTCACTTCAGGAAATCTGCCTGCTGTAAATTAAGGTTATACTAAGTGTCATGAGGGTATAGAACAGTATAAAATCCCATTTGTAGGTCACTCTAAAGTGAAGGTCTTTAATTTTTTTTTTCTCCAGAGCACACTAAAAATATATACTTACTGTGTTGTTGCTGTTTCATACAATACTGTGTTTTAAAAGATTTGCCATTTAAAATCTTGTATGTGTTATATGGTGGGGTAGAGTTTATTTGCCACTTGTTTGAGGAGGGAAATTAAATATGTAACCTGGTTGTGGTGTGGCACTTTAAGCAGTGATCATTTGTATGACATTTCTGTTTATTAAAATAAGCTCTAATGTTGATACCGTCTGTGGTTGATTAACTATTGTCCTCCTTTTGGGCAGGGAAAATGTCTAAGCAAGCAGATAGTATCTATTCTAAATCAGTAAGCCAATCTTAGAATCACACAGATCTCTTGAAATGTACTGGTCTGTGGTTTGATCTGTCAGATTAATCTATTTTATAGTCCCTTGTGGTGAACTTTTTCCCCTACTAAAGCATTTCCTGGGGTCACTTAGCATCAGACTTACAGTATTCCAGGGATGTGATTATCACGTTCCATATTGTACTTTATACCCAACTCAGGATTTCACATCTCTTCTTAAAAATGCATATTTATAAAATCTATCTTTCATGAAAAGTTTATGGTTAGATTTTAATGGCATTTTTCACTGCCGTGCTATATTTGGGTATAAAATATTAACAGTCTATGTGTTGATACAGCAGTTACGACACTTGGACAGGAATTACTTTTTAGAAAATTATAAAATCAACATGATTTGTATTCCTGTCTCCACATTTCTAATTTCCCCCCCAAGTTGACTTCTTATTTTGTGATGCTTAGCAACTATAAGAAAGCAAAAGTGTAGAGGGAAGCTAATAAGGCATAATAACAAATTGGAGAAGTTAGTAAAATATTCTAAGATTATAATAAAATGATCATTATGATGTGTGACAGAGAGAGGCACATTGTTATATATGTTTAGATGTGGCATGGTGCTATTGCAGGAGAAATACTGGACCTAACAATACTATGTCACAATGTTAATGTTTTATCACATTACCTCTAAGCTTCAGTTACTTCTTTTAGGTCTGATTAATGTGGAAATTATGCTCCAGTTTTTGCATGTACTTCAGTTCACTTGTGTTTATCTTTCATTTCCAGTGAGATCCTCAATGTAAATTACTCTCCAGTCTCTAAAATATGGTGGAGGAGTATTTTAGGACTCTTCTGTACTCTTCCATTTCCATTCTTCCACTGTTTACCTTCTCTTTTATAAAATTAAATGTGAAATCTTAGCTATATGCTTTCTACTGCATTTTAAGACAAACGCTTAGTTTTGTAACATATCAAGCATCTTGCTTAAACAAGTAATGCAGAGGGCAGGAAGGATAGATGCCTTGTGTCATAAGCATTCTAACCTTTTGCCTTTGGAAGCACTTTACGTTAGACATCCCTTGTATTGGCATAGCCTTTAAAGGTTTGCAGTCAGATAGGTCAGTGGTGGGAGCTCGTCCTCCTCCCAAGTTGATCATACTTTTTGTGAGAACTATATTTA